TCCTGAGTAGCTGGGATTACAGGCACGCGCCACCATGCCCAGCTAATTTTCTGTATTTTGAGTAGAGATAGGGTTTCACCATGTTGACCAGGATGGTCTCGATCTCTTGACCTCGTGATCCACCCGCCTCGGCCTCCTTAGCTACTGTTTCTTAACTAGAGTACTAAGTACAGGGCAAAGCCAGTTAATAGGACAGACAAAGCATTTCTCCTCCTCCTCCTGTTCCTCTTCCTCTTCTTCTCTCCCTTCCTCTTCCTCCTTCTCCTTCTCCTCCTCCTCTCTTCTTCTTCTTCTTTTGAGACAGGGTCTCACTCTGTCACCCAGGCTGGAGTGCAGTGGCATGATCTCAGCTCACTGCAACCTCCACCTCCAGGGCTCAAGCAATCCTTCCACCTCAGTCTCCTAAGTATCTGGGACTACAGGCACAAGCCACTATGCCCAACTAATTTTTATATATTTTTTAATACAGACAGGGTTTCACCACGTTTCTCAGGCTGGCCTCAAACTCGTGGGTTCAAGTGAACTGCCCTCCTCAGCCTCCCAAAACGTTGGGATTACAGGTGTGAGCCACTGTGCCCAGCCCAGACAAAGCACTTTCTATGCCTGGAGTCATCACAGAAATTAAACTCAAGAATCTTGCCAGGGCATATTGGTGGTCAGAGAAGCATACATGGTGACCTGAGGGTTCAACTGTTATAAATACTTTTTTCTAGCTTTCTTTTCATCTTTGAGTCGGGATGGTAATTAGTTGAAAAGGTTAGCAGATTCCAATATTCTTATCAATTAGTTACTTAAGCTTTTCCTTTTCCCTTGGTAAGGAGTCTTTTTAAAAAGGCAATTAAAAAATATTTTTGGAAGCTTCTGCACATGATTAAAATAGACATCCCAGGTGGGCCTAATTTGGGAGCCCTTATTTTTAAGTGCACTTCTTAGATGAACAGTCTTGTTTACCTAGAACATTCTACAAATGGCCATTGTAATTCCAAATTGTTTCTAATAAGATTTCATCATTTGTGTAAGTACAATCATGCATCGCTTAATGATGGGAATACATTCTAAACTGTCAGGTGATTTCCTCATTGTGCAAACACTATGGACTGTACTTACACACCCTATAGCCTATGCCTACACTGCAGGATAGAGCCTATATCTCCTAGGCTGTAAGCCTATAAAGCCTGTTACTGTAGGCAATTATAACACAATGATAAATATTTGTGTATCTAAACATAGAAAAGGTACAGTAAAAATATGGTATAAAAGATTTAAAATGGTAGACCTGTGTAGGGCACTTACTGTAAATGGAGCTTGCAGGTCTAAAAGTTGCTCTGGGTCAGAGACTAAGTGAGGGGTGAGTGAATGGGAAGCCCTAAGACATGATCAGATACTGCTGTAGAGTATGTTAACACCATACATGTGGGCAAGACTAAATTTATTTTAAAAATTTCTTTATTCAATGATAAATTAACCTTAGCTTAGTGTCACATTTTTACTTCATAAATGTATTAATTTTTTTAACTTTTTGACACATAATAACAACAGCTTAGAACACAAACATATATAGCTGTACAAAAACATATTCTTTATATACTTACCGTATCAGCTTTCTTCTATTAAAATTTTTTTGTACTTTTAAAACTTTTTTGCTGAAAATGATGGCACAAATATACATTCGCTTAGGCCTACACAGGTTCAGGGTCATCCATATCACTGTCTCCCACTTCCACACCTTGTCCTTCTGGAACAGCTTTCGGTCAAAAACATGCTTGGAGCTGTCATCTCCTATAATTACAATGCCTTCTTCTTTTGGAAGGAACTGCCTGAGGCTGTCTTACAGTTAATTTATTTTAATAAATAGGAATACACACTAAAAAATAATAAAAGGTATAGCGACGTCTGGGCACAGTGACTCACGCCTAAAATCCCAGCACTATGAGAGGCTGAGTTGGGTAGATGGCTTGAGTTAAGGAGTTCGAGACCAGCCTGGACAACACGGCAAAACCTCATCTCTACAAAAAAATACAAAAATTAGCTGGGTGTGGTGGTGCACACATGTAGTCCCAGCTACTTGGGGGACTGAGGCAGGAGGATTGCTTGAGCCTGGGAGTTCAAGGCTGCAGTGAGCCTTGATCATGCCCCTATATTCCAGCGTGGGTGACAGAGTAAGACTCTGTCTCAAAAAAAATGTAAATACATGAACCAGTCATATAGTTGTTTGTTGTCGTTATCAAGTTCTATGTACTGCTCATAACTATATGTGCTACGCTTTTATACAGCTGGCAGCACAGTAGGTTTACACCGCATCAGCACAAACACATGAGCCATACATTGGCCATATCACCATGCAGTAGGAACTTTTCAGCTCCATTATAATTTTAAGGGACTGCAATCATATCTACAATCCATCACTGACCAAAATACTATGTAACACATGGCTGATTTGCAGCTTCTGGAGTCACAACAATGTTAAATGTAAAAGGCGGGCAGAGCCAAAAGGTGGAGTACTCAGTTCTTTAGAAGTTAAGGATCTCATTTTTACTTGAAATCTTGGGTCTCAGAGATGAAATAAAAGTCTGGGAGGTGAACACCATGAGGTTGGGTCATGAGATGCTTCTAACATGTTTCTCATTGCACAGAAATTTTCCTGAGGCTGGTGCGTGACCGAATGTCAAAATAACACGTTTCATGACCCAGCTTATTCTTTCTCAGAGTACCTTTGAGGTGTTGGGGCACACTTGCCAGCTCTCAGATGCCCGACTCATGCTCATCAGTCAAGTTGCGCCTTGGGTCTGAGATCCCCATAACCAACTTCCCTCACTTTAGCAGGCAAGGAAAATAAAAAAAAGAAAGAAACAGGAGAAAACCCAAATCTTTGCAAATTCTAAAAGCCAGAGTTATATTCCTTATGCAGTAACAGCCAATTACTGCAACCAACTTCAATCGCCTCTAAAATCCCAGGGAGGTCATGGCACATGACCCTCTCATGGCACAAACTATTTTTAATAATAAACCTTGACATCCCAAGGTCATGCACTGCCTCGCAGCACAAAGTAACCCTGAATTAAAAGACAAAAAGAACAGGGGTGGGGACTCACTGCAAAGACAGCAGAGTTGGAACCCAAGAGGAACTTTACTTACCACCCTTGGGGCTCCATGAGGAAGACAGAGGACCTCAGAAAAGCTCAGCAGCGCCTCCCCTGTGTTCCTCAGGGTCTCAGGGTCATCAGCAGTCCTCTCTCAGTCCTTTCAGAGGTTGCCAGAAACCACAACAAAATTGCAAACAACAAAATTGCAAAAATTGAAATATGTCATTGTTTTTATTTGTGATTCTAGAATCAGGCAACACTTATCTTTATGAAAAAAATGAGGGTTCCCATGAGCTGAGAAAAGGGCATTGGTGCTCATCAATGATAGACTGGATAAAGATAATGCAGTACATATATGCCATGGATACTATGCAGCCATGAGAAGAAATGACATCATGTTCTTTGCAGGGACATGGATGGAGCTGGAAGCCATCATCCTCAGTAAACTAAGGCAGGAACAGAAAACCAAACACCGCAAGTTTTCATTTATAAGTGGGAGCTGAACAATGAGAACACACGGACACAGGGAGGGGAACAACACACAAGGAGGCTGTGGGGAAGGGCAGTGGAGACAGAGAGAGCAGCAGAATAAATAGCTAATGCAAGCTGGGTTTATACCTGGGTGATGGCTTGAAAGGTGCAGCAAACCACCACAGCACATGTTTACCTATGCAACAAACCTGCACATCCTGCACATGTGTCTCAGAACTTAAAATAAAATTAATTTTTTTTAAATATAAAGAGCTTAGGACTGGAGAGTTTCAATAATCTGTTGAGTTCTAAATGATAGAGGTAGTCCATAATTGCCTGTCACCTGTGTGGGAATAATGAAGGCAGGAGAATGTTGCCTCCTGGAATGTAAGGGCCAGATTCAGGAGGTCTGGCTCTGGATTGGGTAGAGTGCACATCTATTTAGATGTATGTACAGTTTGAATAACCCTACATCTGAAAATTCAAACCTCAAATGCTGCAAAATCCAAAGTTCATTGAGTGCTGACATGACGTTCAAAGGATGTGCTCACTGGAGCATTTGAGTTCAGGTTTTCGGATTAGGGAAGTGGCACCCGCACATACGATGCAAATCTTCCAAAATCCCCAAAAATAAAAAACCAGAAACACTTCAAACCCAAGCATTTCAGAAAAGAGAGGCTCGACCTGTCCATATACATATAAATAGAGAGTCACTGTGTGCCAGGCCCTGTTCTAGGTACTAAACGCAGCTCTGACCAGAGTCCTGCTCTCCTGGAGCTCACCCTCTAGAAGGGAAAAGAAATAAGTAAATAATCAGGTAAGACAACCTCAGGTAGGGATGAGGACTTTGAAAACAGGAAGGCACACTGAGGAGCTGGAGAGGGCGCCTTTGCACAGAGACAAACCTGCGTGGAGTGGGAGCTCCATCTGGAAGCCGACGGCCCTAGGAGAGCAGACAGAAGAGCAAAGTTCCCAGATGGGAACATGCTTGGGATAGTTGCTAAATAGCAGAGCAGCCAGGGAGGACATAGAGAGGGTGAGATGGCCAGGACCAGGACATACAGGGTTACATATACTCTGGGGAAGGCTTTTGAACTCATTCTAAATGTAATGAGAAGACACTGGAGGATTAAGAGCAAAGGATGGCACAGCCCTCCATACTGCACGGGCACAGGGGTTGCCATTACACACACCATGGCATGAACTCCTCTCCCTGGAGCTGGCCTTCTTGGTGGCCCTGCAACCCCAACCCCCTCACCTATGGCCAACTGCTAATCTGTCACAAGCCTCGCTCCTCCGGCATGGAGCTGTCACATCCTCTCCGCACAGGACCCCATACAAGCCAGCTGACTCCTCAGAGCTGACCTTTGAGATGACAGGTGCCTGACTCTTTGCTGAGACAAATACTTGTCGAAGTTTTTAGAATAGAGACCTAGGGATACGTAGTTGGAGCAGATCTGGTCAGTTCTTTATTGGGAAGGGGATGCAGTCTGTAATTCGGCAAATCTGTGATCCCAGGAAGATGTCAAGCTCAAGGTTCAGCTGGCTTGTGGCGAGCTCGTAGCTGCCATGGAAAAAGCCACGGGTATGGCAACTTCGCCAGCGCCAATAGACCTGGATGATGCGGACAGCATTGAGCAAACGACAGTAATGTCGGCGGACATGCCACATGCGGACCCAGGACTGCAGCCTGACTGCTGCCCAGTGCTGCCGTGCGCAGAGCTCCAGCGCAGCCCACCTCCTCTTTGCGAGCAGCCTGGCCAGCACCTGCCTCCACCAGCGCTGGATGATCAAAGCTCTGAGGGCCGCATGCAGTAGCGTGCGTCGCACCAGCGTGCCCCGCCACCAGGCCTGGATCTTTTTTGCTGCCAGTACCTTGTCAACAGATAGCTTCATTTGGAGAAGGGAGAGGTTGTAAGAAAAGAAAGAACAGTCAGGACATTTTCCACACAAACATCAGCCCCAGGAGGTGAGAGGAAGTGGCCCGGTACTCTACAACGGCCCTGTCCTCTAAAGTTCAGGTGTACTGGGCAGCAACACCTAACCCTGGAGATCAGGTAGGTGTACCCCCTCTGCTACCCATAGGTCAATGGACATGGTCACCTCACCTTCACCTCTGAGTCTCAGTGTCCCCATCTGCAAAATGGGGGTACACCTGCCCTAGCTACCTCACCCTGTTTTTTGCAAACCTTCTTGGCCAGTCAAGAGCAAGGACACTGTGATGTAGGGTCAGAGGGTTAACACATTTCACCTGGGCCTTCCAGCTAGTGAGGTCCATGACCCACTCCTTCAGACCTCTCCCACCTGCCAGAGAGGTGGCGCCCTTGGCTGGCCCTGCCCTCTTATTTCTGACTCCAGGCCAAATCCACAACCTGCTGTTTCCTGCTGTCACATCATAGTAGTCAAAGTCTCCCTCCCGCACACAGTTTGGAGTCTTTTTCACCTACTTCTTACTTTCACTTATTTTAACACATTTTTTTCTTGTTAAAACTTCTTTTAAGCTTAAGCTTACCTATGCATAAGTGGACTCATGTGCACACTCCCCCACATCCCACCCATTTCAGGACTTGAGTTTCCCTTTATGTGGCCATACATTCCCCAAACATAGCCATCACCATGCCATACTCCAATGTTGAGTGTCTGCTTTCCACGTCTCAGGGTTTCTCTTTGCTACATCCAAGTCTCCATGCCTCAGGCACCCACCTTTCCCAGACTCATAAGGAAATGGGAGAAGAAGATAGCCCAGGATGAGGCCATCTCTATTTATTGCAGCTCTGAATAGGACGACTATGTCCTTGTTGGCCTGGGAAATTCCTGGCTTACGGGGATTGTTCCTGAGTAAGGATTAATAGCAACACCTTTCACTCACAAATGTTTCCTAGTTTGGACAAGAAATTTCATGATTAACCAATTCTATGAGCCACAGGGAAGACAAGCACCACCACTACTGGGTGGCACGGGTCAGAGATGTTGCAGGTGCGGGGTCTCTTCCAACCTTGAGGGCCTGCTCTGACTTACCTTTGGTTTTGGAGGAGGAGGCTTTTTCTCCAGCTCCATGTGTTTGAACAATATGGTCTCATCAGTATCTTCTACTACGATTTGGCAAACATGGCCATCTTTCTATAATCAGATTTGAAAGAGGAGAGGTGGAGGTAGGAAGTTATTTGTAGAACTCAGGGCGCACGCCCTCACTGTGGCTGAATCCCCGTGTCTGCCTGTCTGCCAGATATCCAGTTTTCAGCCAAGTTCACCACATCCTTAACCTCTTGTCTTTCCCAGAGACCCTAGACACAGGGCTTGCATCTGATTAACTGTGGGAATTCACCTTCCCCTGCCTGTGTCTATTTCTTACACAACATCGAATGCCCATGACTTGCAGGTAGTTGGTTCAACCCCTTCAGGTCTGCAATCCCCTTAAGTGCCCATGATTAGAGGCTAGATGTCTCCATCATACTCAGATCTATACTTTTCTAGCCACCACCATGGCAGGAAGTGTGAAGGAGGAGAGAATGTGATGTCATAAGGGCACCTATGACTCTGGCATCAGAATGGCTTCCAACAGCTGTCTTTCCAGTGAATATGTGGAACTCTTGTCCATTCTTTTTTGCAGACATGGCCACAATTTGCCTACAAAAGCAAGCCACTGGAAATACTGGCTCATTCGCACAAAGAGGTATCTAGTTAATGATTTCAGTGTAGTTGATAAAAACAAAAATTGAAACAACCTAAACCTCCATCAAATACAAAATTCAGTGACATGGATTTCAGTTCAATGAACAGCTGTATAAGGATGAGGAAGAATGAATTAGTGGCAAAATTCTCAAACAGGTGCTTCAGAAAAGGATATTTAAGAATGGCTGAGAAGCACATGAAAAGATGCCCAACATCATTAGTAATGAGGGAAATAAAACTGAGAACCAAAATGAGATACACCTAGACACCCTAAGAGAAAGGCTAACAAGAAATCTGACAGTACTAAATCCTGGCAGAGATACAGAATAGGCAGATCTCTTAAACACTGTTGCTAAAAGGTGTGAAACAGCAGAACCGCTTTGGAAAATAGTTTGGCCCTTCCTAATGAAGTTCAAAGTGTACCCGCCCTTATAACTCAGTAGTTTCAGTCCTAAAATTTGCAAACAATAAATGAAAACACATTTTACAAAGGCATGTGCATGGATATTCATAGCAGCTTTATTCAAATAGGTCAGAACTGGAAACAACCCAAATATCCATCAACAGGTGACTAGACAAAAATTTCACGATATGTTAGTATAATGGGGTAATAATAACAAAAATGAATACATTTATACATCGAATAACATAGATAACTCTCAGAAACTTGATGCTAAATGAAAGAAGCTAGACTACCTGTGGGTCCTCCCATTTATATAAAATTCTAAAACAGGCGTTTTGCCTGACAGGTAAAATAGAAAATAAATCAGATGAATCCCTACCCTACATCTAAGATAGGGATACAGGGGTTTTGCCTGCAAACAGCACAGGGAAACAAAGAGAAATGTGCTATATCTTGTTTTGGGTGGTGGTTGCCAAGGAATATGGAATTTGGAAAATTAATCAAACCAAGCACTTAATGAAACCACAAAGATGAACTTTCTTCCCTCGGTACTGATATGGAGTACAAGTGAAACAAATTGAGTTGATGGGCAAATACTTACAAGCACGTTATAAAAGCACTATGAAAACAAGCGAATTAGGAAGACCTATGCAAACAAAATATATCAATGATTATCTTTGGTGAGGCTAGCAGAACTGTGGGGACAGGGCACACTCCCTCACTGTGGCTGAATCCCCTGTGTGTGTCCTGTCTGCAGAGCACTCAGTTATCAGCCTCCTGAGAGAGCAGGACACACACAGAGAAGGATACCCTTGAGGCGCCAGCTAGGGTACAAATGTCTTTGACTGCTCTCCTGTCACAGTCAGAGGATGAGTCAGGACAGCCACTGCAGAAGCAGGCACCATCTCTGCCCGATCCCGACCACTGAAAAGCCACCTGTTGCCACAGGTCAATGCTCAGCAGAAGGTCCTCTGGCCACAGGTTGAGGCGTCAGCATCAGGCCCTGGTCCCCCTCAGAGTTTCTGCCCAGGGTTCACTGAGGAGTACATTTGGAATGTTTAGGGTGAGTACTAGGGAGGCTGCAGTGGGCTCTGGAGGGAATGTAGGGAAGAGGAGGAGGCCAGTTAAGGCTGGGGTGGATATCAGGGTGAAGATAGCAGGACGACGGGCATGGGAAAGACAGGGGGAAGACAGGGTAAGTGGTGAGAAGAACTTGTGGGACAGGGAAGCGGCAGAAAGTGTGTTTTGATGGAGCGATTAGACGATACACACAGGCCAGTTTTGCATCTCTGAGTATCTTTCTTTGGATCATGGCCCTGTGATATTCTTTTTTTTTACTGTATTGTTTCTTTCTTCTTTTTTCAGGGTTCAAACTAAGTATATTTACTTTTTTTATTGCATTTTAGGTTTTGGGGTACATGTGCAGAACATGTAAGATAGTTGCATAGGTAGACACATGGCAGTGTGTTTTGCTGCCTTCCTCCCCTTCACCCACATTTGGCATTTCTCCCCAGGCTATTCCTCCCCAGCTCCCCTCCCCTGCTGTCCCTCCCCTATTCCCCCCGAGAGACCCCAGTATGTAGTATTCCCTTCCCTGTGTCCATGTGTTCTCATTGTTCATCACCCGCCTATGAGTGAGAATATGCGGTATTTCATTTTCTGTTCTTGTGTCAGTTTGCTGAGAAAGATGTTCTCCAGATTCATCCATGTCCCTACAAACGACACGAACTCATCATTTTTGATTGCTGCATAATATTCCATGGTGTATATGTGCCACATTTTCCCAGTCCAGTCTATCATCGATGGGCATTTGGGTTTGTTCCAGGTCTTTGCTATTGTAAACAGTGCTGTAATGAACATTTGTGTGCATGTGTCCTTATAGTAGAATGATTTATAGTCCTTTGGATGTATAGCCAGTAATGGGATTGTTGCGTCAAATGGTATTTCTATTTCTAAGGCCTTGAGGAATCGCCACACTGTCTTCCACAATGGTTGAACTAATTTACACTCCCACCAGCAGTGTAAAAGTGTTCCTATTTCTCCACATCCTCTCCAGCATCTGTTGTCTCCAGATTTTTTAATGATCACCATTCTAACTGGCATGAGATGGTATCTCAATGTGGTTTTGATTTGCATCTCTCTAATGACCAGTGATGATGAGCATTTTTTCATATGTTTGTTGGCCTCATGTATATCTTCTTTTGTAAAGTGTCTGTTCATATCCTTTGCCCATTTTTGAATGGGCTTGTTTGTTCTTTTCCTGTAAATCTGTTTGAGTTCTTTGTAAATTCTGGATATCAGCCCTTTGTCAGATGGGTAAACTGCAAACATTTTTTCCTATTCTGTTGGTTGCCAATTCACCCTAGTGACTGCTTCTTTTGCCGTGCAGAAGCTGTGGAGTTTGATTAGGTCCTGTTTGTCTATTTTGGCTTTTGTTGCCAATGCTTTTGGTGTTTTCGTCACGAAGTCCTTGCCTACTCCTATGTCCTGAATGGTTTGCCTAGATTTTCTACTATGGTATTTATGGTGCCAGGTCTTATGTTTAGGTCTTTAATCCATCTGGAGTTAATTTTAGTGTAAGGTGTCAGGAAGGGGTCCAGTTTCTGCTTTCTGCACATGACTAGCCAGTTTTCCCAACACCATTTGTTAAACAGGGAATCCTTTCCCCATTGCTTGTTTTTGTCAGGTTTATCAAAGATTGTATGGTTGTAGATATGTTGTGTTGCCTCTGATGTCTCTGCTCTGTTCCATTGGTCTATATCTCTGTTTTCGTACCAGTACCATGCTGTTTTGATTACTGAAAACTTGTAGTATAGTTTGAAGTCCGGTAGTGTGATGCCTCCCGCTGTATTCTTTTTGCTTAGAATTGACTTGGCTATACGGGCTCTCTTTTGGTTCCATATGAAGTTCATGGTGGTTTTTTCCAGTTCTGTGAAGAAAGTCAATGGTAGCTTGATGGGGATAGCATTGATTCTGTAAATTATGTTGGGCAGTATAGCCATTTTCACAATATTGATTCTTCCTAACCATGGACATGGAATGTTTCTCCATCTGTTTGTGTCCTCTCTTATTTCGTTGAGCAGTGGTTTGTAGTTTTCCTTGAAGAGGTCCCTTACGTTCCTTGTTAGTTGTATTCCTAGGTATTTTATTCTCTTTGTAGCAATTGTGAATGGCAATTCATTCTTGATTTGGCTCTCTTTCAGTCTGTTATTGGTGTAGAGGAATGCTTGTGATTTTTGCACCTTGATTTTGTATCCTGAGACTTTGCTGAAGTTGCTTATCAGTTTCAGGAGTTTTGGGGCTGAGGCAATGGGGTCTTCTAGGTATACTATTATGTCGTCTGCAAATAGAGACAATTTGGCTTCCTCCTTTCCTATTTGAATACCCTTTATTTCTTTTTCTTGCCTGATTGCTGTGGCTAGAACTTCCAGTACTATATTGAATAGGAGTGGTGACAGAGGGCATCCTTGTCTAGTGCCAGATTTCAAAGGGAATGCTTCCAGTTTTTGCCCATTCAGTATGATATTGGCTGTTGGTTTGTCATAAATAGCTTTTATTACTTTGAGATACGTTCCGTCAATACCGAGTTTATTGAGGGTTTTTAGCATAAAGGGCTGCTGATTTTTGTCAAAGGCCTTCTCTGCGTCAATTGAGATAATCATGTGGTTTTTGTTTTTGGTTCTGTTTATGTGGTGAATTACGTTTATAGACTTGCGTATTTCGAACCAGCCTTGCATCCCCGGGATGAATCCTACTTGATCATGATGGATACGTTTTTTGATGTGCTGTTGCAATCGGTTTGCCAGTATTTTATTGAAGATTTTTGCATCTATGTTCATCATGGATATTGGCCTGAAGTTTTCTCTTCTTGTTGAGTCTCTGCCGGGTTTTGGTATCAGGATGATGTGGGTCTCATAAAATGATTTGGGAAGGATTCCCTCTTTTTGGATTATTTGGAATAGTTTCAGAAGGAATGGTACCAGCTCCTCTTTGTGTGTCTGGTAGAAGTCGGCTGTGAACCCATCTGGACCTGGGCTTTTTTTGTGTGGTAGGCTCTTAATTGCTGCCTCGACTTCAGACCTTGTTATTGGTCTATTCATAGTTTCAGCTTCCTCCTGGTTTAGGCTTGGGAGGACACAGGTGTCCAGGAATTTATCCATTTCTTCCAGGTTTACTAGTTTATGTGCATAGAGTTGTTTGTAATATTCTCTGATGATGGTTTGAATTTCTGTGGAATCTGGTGATTTCCCCTTTATGGTTTTTTATTGCATCTATTTGGTTGTTCTCTCTTTTCTTTTTTATCAGTCTGGCTAGCGGTCTGTCTATTTTGTTGATCTTTTCATAAAACCACCTCTTGGATTTATTGATTTTTTGAAGGGTTTTTCGTGTCTCTATCTCCTTCAGTTCTGCTCTGATCTTAGTTATTTCTTGTCTTCTGCTAGGTTTTGAGTTTTTTTGATCTTGCTCCTCTCGCTCTTTCAATTTTGATGATAGGGTGTCAATTTTGGATCTCTCCACTCTTCTCATGTTGACACTTATTGCTATATATTTTCCTCTGGAGACTGCTTTAAATGTGTCCCAGAGATTCTGTTATGTTGTGTCTTCATTCTCGTTGTTTTCGAAGAACTTCTTTATTTCTGCCTTCACTTCATTGTTTATCCAGTCAACATTCAAGAGCCAGTTTCTGAATTCTGAGTTCTAACTTGATTGCACTATGGTCTGAGAGGCTGTTTGTTATGATTTCAGTTGTTTTGCATTTGCTGAGGAGTGCTTTACTTCCAATTATTTGGTCAATTTTAGAGTAGGTGTGATGTGGTGCTGAGAAGAATGCATACTCAGTGGATTTGGGGTGGAGAGTTCTGTAAATGTCTATCAGGTTTGCTTGTTTCAGGTCTGAGTTCAAGCCCTGGATATCCTTGTTAATTTTCTGTCTGGTTTATCTGTCTAATATTGACAGTGGAGTGTTAAAGTCTCCCACTATTATTGTGTGGGAGTCTAAGTCTCTTTGTAAGTCATTAAGAACTTGCCTTATGTATCTGGGTTCTCCTGTATTGGGTCCATATATATTTAGGATCATTAGCTCTTCTTGTTGTATCGATCCTTTTACCATTATGTAATGACCTTCTTTGTCTTTTTTGATCTTTGTTGCTTTAAAGTCAATTTTATCAGAGACAAAAATTGCAACTCTTGCTTTTTTTTTTGCTCTCCATTTGCTTGATAAATCTTCCTCCATCCCTTTATTTTGGGCCTTTGTGTATCCTTGCATGTGAGATGGGTTTCCTGGATACAGCATACCAATGGGTTTTGGCTTTTTATCCAATTTGCCAGTCTGTGTCTTTTGATTGGTGCATTTAGCCCATTTACATTTAGGGTTAATATTGTTATGTGTGAATTGGATGCTGCCATTTTGAGGCTAGCTGGCTGTTTTGCCCATTAGTTGATGCAGATTCTTCATTTTGTTGATGCTCTTTATCATTTGGTATGTTTTTAGAATGGCTGGTACTGGTTGTTCCTTTCTATGCCTCTTTCAGGAGCTCTTGTAAAGCAGGCCTGGTGGTGACAAAATCTCTGAGTACTTGCTTGTTTGCAAAGGATTTCATTTTTCCTTCACTTATGAAGCTCAGTTTGGCTGGATATGAAATTCTGGGTTGAAAGTTCTTTTCTTTAAGAATGTTGAATATTGGCCCCCACTCTCTTCTGGCTTGTAGTATTTCTGCCGAGAGATCTGCTGTGAGTCTGATGGGCTTCCCTCTGTGGGTGACCCGACCTTTCTCTCTGGCTGCCCTTAGCATTTTCTCCTTCATTTCAACCCTGGTGAATCTGACGATTATGTGCCTTGGGGTTGCTCTTCTTGCGGAATATCTTTGAGGTGTTCTCTGTATTTCCTGGACTTGAATATTGGCCTGCCTTGGTAGGTGGGGGAAATTTTCCTGGATAATATCTTGAAGAGTATTTTCCAGCTTGGATTCATTCTCTTCGTCACATTCTGGTACACCTATCAAACGTAGGTTAGGTCTCTTCACATAGTCCCACATTTCTTGGAGACTTTGTTCATTCCTTTTGTGCTTTTTTTCTCTAATCTTGCCTTCTCAATTTATTTCATTGAGTTGATCTTCGACTTCTGATATTCTTTCTTCTGCTTGATCAATTCAGCTGTTGAAACTTGCGCATGTTTTGTGAAGTTCTCGTGTTGTGTTTTTCAGCTCCTTCAACTCATTCATATTCCTCTCTAAGTTGTCCATTCTTGTTATCATTTCCTCGAATCTTTTTTCAAAGTTCTTAGTTTTTTGCATTGATTTAGAACATGTTCTTTTAGCTCATGGAATTTTCTCATTACCCACCTTCTGAAGTCTGATTCCATCATTTTATCACACTCATTCTCCGTCCAGCTTTGTTCCCTTGCTGGTGAGGAGTTTTGGTCCTTTGTAGGAGGCGAGGTGTTCCAGTTTCAGGTGTTTTCCTCCTTTTTGCGCTGGTTTCTTCCCATCTTTGTGGGTTTATCCACCTGTCATCTGAGTAGTTGCTGACTTTTCAATTGGGTCTCTGAGTGGATACCCAGATTGTTGATGATGAAGTATTTCTGTTACTTAGTTTTCCTTCTAACAGTCTAGCCCCTCTGCTGTATGACTGCTGAGGTCCACTCCAGGCCCTGCTTATCTGGGGTGCACCTGTAGCAGCTGTGGAACAGTGAGGGATGCTACCAGTTTCTTCTTCTGCTATCTTTGTCCCAGAATGATGCCCACCCAATGTCAGTCTGATCAGTCCTTTTTGAGGTGACTCTGGATATGCAGGGGTTAGGGAGCTGCATGAGGGGGCAGTCTGTACTTTATAGGAGCTCAAGTGCTGAGCTGTGAGCTCCATTGATCATTCAGGGCTGTTAGGCCAGTACATTTAACTCTGCTGCAGCAGAACTCATAAAACCCCCTTTTTTCCTCAGATGCTCTGTCTCGCGGAGTTAGGGTTAGGAGGCAGTCTAGTCACTATTTGCCTGCTGAGGCTCTGCCCTGTTGCTGTGGGGTCTGCCCTGTTGTCATGGGCTCCGCCCTGCTGCCATGGGCTCCGCCCTGTTGGCAGAGTCTCTCTGTTATGGTGGGTTGCCTTGGCAACGGCAGGCTGCATCAGCAATGGCAGTGTACCTCAGTAGAGGCGGAATGCCTCGGTAATGGCGGATGCCCCTCCCCCACCGAACTGCACCATACTGGGTTCAGCTGTGCCCACAGTGAAACTCTCAACCCTGAGCATTTCAAATCACCGTTTTGTTTGTCCCTGTGGGGGTGGGACCTGCCAAGCCTGATCACCTGGCTCCCTGCCTCAGAGTCCTTTTTTTTTTTTTAAGTTAAACGGTTGACCCTCTCCCAATTGTTTCAGTCACCTGCTGATAGGGCACCGGGATCTGTGTGATTTTCTGTGCAGCGACTCACTGTGCCGACTCAAACATCCCTTCCCGGGAATCTCCTGGTCTGGCTCACTGTCCAAGTCCCATTTAATCAGATGGATATGCTAATCTGCCCTCCCAAATCTCAGATTGCCAGTTTAACAGGGCACCCAGACCAGTGTGTTTTGTGCAGAGTGCCGCTGCGCTGCGGCACTGGCCAAAACGGCCATGCGAGCTGAAACAGCTGCGCTGGCATCCTGTGTCTCTCCTACAATTGGGAATTTCCCCGTTCTGTGGGCAACAAAGATCCCTCTGGAATTGCAGATTGCACTCACCCTCTGCATCTTCACTGAGAGCTGCAATCCTGATTTGCTCCTACCGCGCCATCTTCTTTTCTCCGCTCTACTGTATTGTTTATTTTCAGTTTCTTCAAGCAGAAATTTAAAAAGTATTTTGATCAGCTTTTCAGCAAAAGAACCATTTCAGCTCCTTAGCACATGATTACTAGAAGTGGGAGTCCCTCCATGCTGTATCCTTACCCAGTGCTTTATTTTCAACTTCCCTTCTCCTTCTGTTCACAAAATACATGTTTCTCTTTTAATCCAGCAAGAAAATCTCCGTATCTTGATAGATACTACAACAAATTCATGGTTATTTTTATTTCTACTATCTTTTGACTTATTGCTGTATTGCTTTATAATTTCCAGCTTTTCAATTTTTTTTTTTTCATTTTCACTTTTGTTGTCTTTTGTTGAATTGGTAGGAAATTGTTTGGACTTTTATTCTTTTTTTTTTTTTTTGAGACGGAGTCTCACTCTGTCTCCAGGCTGGAGTGCAGTGACGCGATCGCGGCTCACTGCAACCTCCACCTCCCTGGTTCAAGCGATTCTCCTGCCTCAGCCTCCTGAGTTGCTGAGACTACAGGTGCACACTGCCATGCCCAGCTAATTTTTGTATTTTTAGTAGAGACAGGGTTTTACCATGTTGGCCAGGCTGGTCTTGAGCTCTTGACCTCATGATCCACCCGCCTCGGCCTCCCAAAGTCCTAGGATCACAGGCTTGAGCAACCACGCCCGACTATTCTTTCTTCACTGAAGAAGTTGAGGCAGACTGCACTTGCCTGTCCAGCATTCATTCTCCTCATTTTCCTAACTAGTGGAACCAGGAATATTTGGGGTAGCAATATCTGCAGCCTGATGGCACCTCCAGGTATTTGTCATGCAGAATTCCAGGCACAACCACCTTACAAAGGGAGACATGCAAGAGCAGGCACGGCTTCCATCAGCGATGGCAGAAAGTTGTTTTCTCGCTACTTTGGGAGGAGGGGGGAGGGGACTACTCCTAAAGCTTCTGAAGAAAAGAGCCCCTAGAGGAATGAGGCGCAGGCCAAAGGCAATGGATCCTGAGCGAAATCTTTGCAATCTGCCCTTGCCAATGGTGTTGGCACCAGACTAAACTCTGGACCTGAAAATATGCTATGGCTGCTCTGCCGATCCCCACTGTCATACCTTCCAGCACACAGAATGGGCTTCGGGCTGAGGAAGACATCAACCAGCTGCAAGGCATGAAGACTCCTGTACCTCCCCACTGGCTGTCACACCACTTGTTCAGGGCCCACCATGGAAAGAGCCTGTGGAGGGTTGCAGACCTCAGACTTCTGAGATGGAGGTTCACACAGACATCTGAGGGACACAGGCTGAGTGTGAGGTACCTTGGGCATGGATGACAACACAGAGACAGTGAGAGACCACATGAGAGATGGTTGCACCATAGGTGCCCAGAGACAGAGGGACACTTAGCAAACCAGTGACCCAGCAGCACCCACCCAAAGCAGACCAGCAGAGGGTGAGGCAGCCTAGGGGAGGACAGAGAGGGGAAGTAGGGGTGGAGGAAGAGCACGGCTGTTTCTGAGGCTGTGGTAGGATTTAGAGGCTGTGTGCCCAGTGACCTCCAGGAGCAGAGGGACAGCCCTTCCCCCTGCCTACCCCTCATCCTCTGTTTGTTTACCTGCCCCCATGCCACCCCCACCACCATCCTTCCACACCCCTTGAGTCTCTTTCTCCTCCCCCATCTCATGCCTGGTTCTCCCAGAAGTGGCCAGCAGAGGGGAGGGAAGCCTTCTTATGCAGCCGGAGGGTGGGGAGGCGGCAGACATAGCTGCTGCCCTTAACTCCTGCTCTGGCTTCCCCAGGGGCTGGCTCTGGCTGGTTGCTCCCCCATTGCCTCCCCCACAGTAAGGCACAGTGTCTGTCCTGCTGTTGCACAGCTAAAGTGCCCTGTCCTCCTGGCTCCATGCCAAGCACGCTGCTTGTCCTGAGGGCCCAGCCGAGCACAGGCCTGTGGAATCCTGGCCTTCCCAGCTGGCCCTGGCTGCAGCCAGACTCTCTGACGTCCTGCTCTGAATGAAGATGCCTGGACAGGGGCCATGAAAAAATAAAGCCCAGTTTCTACACTCCCTGGGGAAAGGGGTTGAAACAGCCCTCCTGCCTCCGTTGACATCCCAGTCAGCCTGAGCACTAGTGTCTTTTTTAGAGAAAAGTTTCACCAGGTCTGACAGCAGGAGCAGCAGCAGAGGGTCAGCCTGGGCCAGGCCTTCTATGCAACAGCTCTCCCACAAGTGGCCATCAGCCTGGCGAGTCTCGGGTTAGCCAGGTTTTCCTACAGCCAGGCCTATGTCATGGAATTCTCTACTTTAAGTTCCATCTGGCTTGCTGTGACTTTGCAGACTGGGCAGGTGTGATAGGAAGTGAGAAGGTTCTGGTAATATTGTCCGGGGCTCTGAATCCAACTACAAAAGATGGGTCTTGTGGTATGCTGACAAATGGGCCTCTAAAAGATATGCACAGGAAACCCCTGGAATCTGTGACTGCTATCTATGACAAAAGATGCGATTAACTTAAGGACCTTGTGACGAAGGGTTTATCCTGGATTATCTGTGTGGGACCTAAATACCGTCACAGGTGCCCCTGAAAGAGAATGGCAGAGGAAGTTTTAAGAGAGACACACCTTAGACAAAGCAATGTGAAGAGGAAGGCAGAGACTGGAGGGATGTGACCTCAAGCTAAGGAATGCGGGGAACTACCAGCAGCTGTAAGTGACAGGGAAGGAAATCTCCCCAGAGCTTCTGAGAAGAATCTGGCCCTCTTGACACCTGGATTTCAGCCTCTAGCCTCCAGAACCGTAAGAGAACATATTTCTCTTGTTTTAAGTCACCAGGTAAGTGGTAATTGTTACAGAAGCCACATAAACAAATAGACCATTTATTTTATTTATTATTTTTTTTTTGAGACAGACTTTCACCTTTGTCACTCAAGCTGGAGTGCAGTGGCACGATCTCTTCTTACTGCAACCTCTGCCTCCCGGGTTCAAGTGATTCTTCAGCCTCAGCCTCCCAAGTAGCTGAGATTACAGGTGCCTGCCACCACGCCCGGCTAATTTTTGTATTTTTAGTAGCGATGGGGTTTTGTCATGTTGGCTATGCTGGTCTTGAACTCCTGACCTCAGGTGATCCATACACTTCAGCCTCCCAAAGTGCTGGTATTAAGGCATGATCCACTGCTCTCTCCCTAGACCTCTTAACTTTTAAGTAAACCAATAAATTCCCTTTTTTGGCTTCCAAGTCTATTTTCTGTCATTTGCAACCAAAAGAGTCTTAATTTAGACAATAGCTTAAGAGAAGGGAGACAGGCAAAAGGAAAGGATGGAGTGTTAGACAGGGGTCGGCGGATGAGAGAACGACACTTTAAGGGCAGAGGAAAGGAGGACAATGCGTGTCTGCCAGTGTGATGATGTGAATACTTTTGTGGGAAGGAAAAGACTGATGGAGGTAGCACAGCGATGGAAATTTTATCCAGGCCACAGTGGTGACAGTAATAATTGGCAGAGCTGCTGTGGTCGGAATGTTTATGTCCTTTCAAAATTCATATGTTGAAACCTAGTCTCTAATGTAATAGTATTAAGAGGTGGGGCTTTGGGAGGCTCTATCCTCATGAATGGGATGAGTATTCTTATAAAAGCACCTGGGAAGATGGCGCTGTGAGAACAACCCAGGATCGGAGTTCTCGTTGTGTCTGCGGAGAGGTGAGTCTGAGCTGCATTTCCAGACTGATCTTTGTTGCCCACGGAACGGGGAAATTCCCAAGTGAAGAGGAGACGCGGGACGCCAGGCAGATATTCCGCCTGGCGAAGCTGGCAGCCGGGGTGGCGGCGGCCGGCCCTACCCAGTGCTCCCCACAGGGCGCACTTGTCCGGGTGCCCCGTTGAACCGGAAACCGGAGACGTGAGAGGGCTGGACTGAGACTGAGCTAGACTTGGACAGTGGGCCAGCCCAGGGGATTGCAGGAACAGAGCGTTAGGATTGGCCCAGTGGGACGAACAAAACCGCGATTTCAAACAAGCCCCGTGCAGACGGCCCGAGACGCTCTGAGGGGGAGGGGCGGCCACCATTACCGAGGCAACCCTTCCCTACTGAGATACACGCCCACTGCTGACGCAGCCAGCCGTTGCCGAGGCAACACGCTACAACAGGGAGACTCCGCCGCAGGGCGTGGCGGAGAACAGCAGAACAGCGGAGCCAGGGCGAGCCTCACAACAGCAGGGCAGAGCCTCGGCAGGCAAACAGTGGCTAGTCTGCATCCTAGCTGGGCAGGACCTTAACGGACATCCAAAAATAAAGCCCAAACCCCTCAACACAGAGCATTTGAGAAAAAAAAGGGTTTTTTTAATGAGCTCTGTTGCAGCAGAATCAAACATAGCAGCCTAACAGCCCTGAATGAACAACACAGCTCACAGCTCAGCAATTAAACCCCTATAAAGTACAAACTGTCTCCTCAAGCACCTCCCTGACCCCTCTATATCCAAAAGACTGATATTAGGCAGGCACCATCCTGGGACAAAGATAGCAGAAAAAGAAACTAGTAGCATCCCTCGCTGTGCCACAGCTGCTAGAGGTGCACCCCAGACAAGCAGGGTCTGGAGCGGACCTCAGCAGTCGTACAGCGAAGGGGCTAGACTGGTAGAAGGAAAACCAAGCAACAGAAATACTTCATCATCAACATTCAGGGTGTCCACTCAGAGACCCAATCGAAAAGTCAGCAACTACGCAGACGACCAGCGGACAAATCCACAAAGATGGGAAGAAACCAGCGCAAAAAGGAGGAAAATACCCGAAACCAGAACACCTCGCCTCCTAGAAAGGACCAAAACTCCTCACCAGCAAGGGAACAAAGCTGGACGGAGAATGACTGCGACGAAATGACGGAATTAGACTTCAGAAGATGGATAATGAGAAACTTTGGTGAGCTAAAAGATCATGTATTAAACCAATGCAAAGAAACTAAGAACCTTGAGAAAAGATTTGAAAAAAGATTTGAGGAAATGATAACAAGAATGGATAACTTAGAGAGGAATATGAATGAATTAAAGGAGCTGAGAAACACAATACGAGAACTTCGCGAAGCATGCACAAGTTTCAATAGCCGAATTGACCAAGCAGAAGAAAGAATATCTGAAGTCGAAGACCAACTCAATGAAATAAAACGAGAAACCAAGATTAGAGAAAAAACCGCAAAAAGGAATGAACAAAGTCTCCAAGAAATGTGGGACTATGTGAAAAGACCTAACCTACGTTTGATAGGTGTACCAGAAGGGGACGAAGAGAATGAATCCAAGCTGGAAAATACTCTTCAGGACATCATCCAGGAAAACTTCCCCCACCTAGCAAGACAGGCCAACACTCAATTGCAGGAAATTCAGAGAACACCACAAAGATATTCCGCAAGAAGAGCAACCCCAAGGCACATAATCGTCAGATTCAATAGGGTTGAAATAAAGGAGAGAATACTAAGGGCAGCCAGAGAGAAAGGTCGGGTCACCCACAAAGGGAAGCCCATCAGACTCACAGCAGATCTCTCGGCAGAAACACTACAAGCCAGAAGAGAGTGGGGGCCAATATTCAACATTCTTAAAGAAAAGAACTTTCAACCCAGAATTTCATATCCAGCCAAACTGAGCTTCAGAAGTGAAGGAAAAATAAAATTCTTTGCGAACAAGCAAGTACTCAGAGATTTTGTCACCACCAGGCCTGCTTTACAAGAGCTCCTAAAAGAGGCACTACACATAGAAAGGATCAACCAGTACCAGCCATTCCAAAATCACACTGAATGCTAAAGAGCATCAACATAATGAAGAATCTACAACAACTAACAGGCAAAACAGCCACTTAGCATCAAAATGGCAGTATCAAATTCACACATAACAATATTAACCCTAAATGTAAATGGACTAAATGCACCAATCAAAAGACACAGACTGGCAAATTGGATAAAAATCCAAAACCCATCAGTGTGCTGTATCCAGGAAACCCATCTCACATGCAAGGATACACAAAGGCTCAAAATAAAGGGATGGAGGAAGATTTACCAAGCAAATGGAAAGCAAAAAAAAGCAGGAGTTGCAATTCTCATCTCCGATAAAATAGACTTTAAAGCAACAAAGATCAAAAGAGACAAAGAAGGCCATTACATAATGGTAAAAGGATCGATACAACAAGAAGAGCTAACGGTCCTAAACATATATGGACCCAATGCAGGAGCACCCAGATACATAAGGCAAGTTCTTAAGGACTTACAAAAGGACTTAGACTCCCACACAATAATAGTGGGAGACTTTAACACCCCACTGTCAATACTAGACAGATCTACCAGACAAAAA